GCTCTGTTAGAGTTAAGCTGAGGAATCTGAGTGTGGAGCAGTTTAGCCTGGCCGTGCCGATGTGAACGGGTGAACAAAGGCCAAACACAGCTGCCTATACTGAAAGACGAAAGAAAATCAGTACAGACACATAAAAAGCATGCCACAGACAAATCCAATCTAAGCAACACTTTTCTCTTTTCCAAGTATAACGTTAACATTAGCCTCCTTGATTGAACGGAATTTGAAAATGACTCTTCGTCTGAACTAAGAGTTTAATGTTTAAAAAACAAAACCAACAAAAGAAATAAATATATTTGTAAACATTAATACAGCAGTCTAACCTTGATAACGAACCACGTGAAGCACAAAGTTTAGTTATAAACATGTCGAGCATTGGAAAGGTTGCTAAACTGTGACAGGAAGCTCTTCAATAGAAGGTCGGACACAGGAGTTGATATAATAAAGGTCCCAGTGAAACAGTATATGGCCCAGAAACGTTCCGGGGCGAGGGGATTCTGATTTTCGTTTTCTGTTACGGTTTGGTACTCATGCTTCCCAAATGAGTATTTTATACTTATTGACGTAACTAAAATGACATTAAAGTCAAACCTGGTGGTGGTGGGTTGGCTCCTTAAATCGCCGAGGTGTTCAGTCATCTTAGCGTACCAATCAGATTAGCATATATTTAATTAATAATTATTAAATGTACGCATTTAATAATTCGCACTCTAGAATAATTCTGTCTTGTGTGGAGCTTTCAATTCAGAATACAGACGACAAACGGTAAATGAATGATGTTTATTTAACGTAAGGACATACGGTTAGGGTTACTGCTGGTGTTGCAGCGTATGTGTGCAGTCAGTGTGCTGCATACCTGCCGATCTGACAATGTATGTTGACTTGGCTGCAGTGGGGATTGAATAAAATAAAATACATCTTGTTCCTGAACGTCATTAAACAATTCAATCCACTTTTACATATGTAGCAGCAGCAGCAGCACCATTTCATCTGTACACGTCTTTATAGCTGAGTTACCCTGCGGAGGGCAGTAGTACACATAGAAGCGTCTGTTATAGGACGAAGAAGATATCCCGTGATGTGTTAGGGAAGTACAGCTGAGGACGTGTTTTGTCGAGTAGTTTTTATATGTTCGGGTAAAGATTTATTCGTTCATTACTTAACGCAAGCCTATTGCTTTATTATTTGTGTGTACGTGTTCTTCCAGACCAAACGGGTAAGATGAAGACATCGCTTTATCTCAGACAACTTTGTTATTTTCTTAGACTTCATTTGATGCATTTGATTCCTTGGAAGATGCGTTTGTCTTGTCTGATCTATATAAACTTGGCTTTGGTGCTCTATACTAAAAAAAACCCCCCTCTATACTAACAGTGATAGTTGTATTAAACTTCCTTGTGGTACATCCCCTAGATTTTCTGAAATGTGGGGGAGGTTCCGTCAGTTCAGTTTATTTCTGCTGCACATCAGTAAAATCCAACTATTGAGAAGCAGAGCTACGTGGGGCTCAGCTCAAACACTCCATATGAAGACTGAGTGAATAGTTTTAGGACAGAGGCAAAGTTTTTGACTGTGGACTGTGACTATCACCACTTATCAAGGGCAGGTATACCAAATCATGCAGCCTTAAGGCTGAGGGTAACACCATATATCCAAAAGAGAAGAATTTTCAAGCAGGTTGGCAGCATATCAA